ATAATGCATTTAAGAAAATTTTCAAAGTATTTAATCTAATAGTACATAATCCTATAAATTTCATTATTGATTAATATAAATTTACTTATTTTTCACATTATTAGCTTTTTTTCTTCTTAAAGTATGTTAAAATTTTTAAAGTATGTTAAAATTTTCATTTTACTGAAATTTTTTTTTTTTTTTTTTGCTACACTTATTTTAGTCCCCCTTAAAATAAATATTTGACACCGTCTCTGATGTTAGAAATTGTCATTAGCTAAATTTGACAAATTTTAGAATAAAACTCTAAAATGACAAGTCAAAGAAACTCTTATGATTTAGTATTAATTTTGTCCATATTTGGCACAATAATTGATAATTGTTAAATTTATCAATTCACATTCTCTCTACATTCCTATCATGAGGCTACATATGCCATTTGTAATTAGTATTATATGATGAAGAGAAAAAAAAAATAGAAAAAGAATACTTACACGAATGTGATTACAAATTATAACATTTTCAATACGACATTATGAGTTTAACATTATCCAAATAGCAAAACTATGCTTTTATGATGATATCTTGTCAAAAAGTCAAGTCATTTAAATTTGTGATACCTTTCACATAAATATACATACTAGGCATATAATTTTAATGAGAAACTCAATTGGTTTGTACTATTTAAGCTTTAGGATTGGAGTTCCCACTCAGATGTTTTAGCACATTTGTTTTGAAGATAAAAGAAACATAATTATTAAGTCTGAATAGGTAGTTCGGGATGTTTATACTTTTTGACTTTTTATTAAAAAAAATTGCGTAAAAAAAGTAGAGAGGAGATGTTGATTGATGTAACTTTAAAAAAAATTAAAAAAATAAAAATATGAACTAAAATAATGTATGCCAAACAACTCCTCCGGAGTTGTTTGGCATATTGCCATTTCCTTTCCAATCCAATACAAAGTATTATATTACGGTTGAGGTAGTGACATCTCATCAGTGTTTTCGTTTGGTCCCCTTAGCAAATTAAGTAAATAGTGTAAGGACCTACAAATTTATGGGACATCTCATTAGTCTAATATCTTTATGCCTTTAATATTTAATAAATATATATGATTAGTGTACTCAAGTTTATTCTAATATGATAGTTGATAATGACCTTGTCTGTTGCAGTCTTTGGTGTTGCTTATAAGTTTTTTTTATTTTGGAAAATTTAAATTCTTTTTGTAATATATTTTTTTATGGTAAAAGAAAATCATAATAATAAGAGTCATAAGCAACTTATTTAAATGGAATAAAACTAATAAAAATATACTAACAGTTTCTCTATGGTGTGCACCCTTTAGGAGTGTATATCATATGCACATTAATTAAAATATATATAATTTTATTATAAAATTTTATAATATTAATTATAAAATACGTAATCTCATTATAAATTAAAGTAATAAAATATTTAAATTTTGATAATTAATGTTACAAATATTTATAATTTATTATAATATTTTTATTATTTTAATTTATAATTATTTTATATATATTGTGATAGGGTGTATAAGATCCACACCATAGCATTTTTCAAAATATACTTTTACCGGTGGGATGTAACCATGCGAAGGAATATTTCCTCAGATAATTCTTGGGAATTGAGTGACTAATTTGTCCTTCCCAACAAAATGGATGACCGTAGCTTGTTTGGCTCGACTTGGATTGAGAGATGTGCAATGCCCTCTCTCTCTCTCTCTCTCTCTCTCTCTCCTGTTTGTGATGAATGATTCCAAGAAAAACCATACCGAATACTCATCAATATCCAATACCCTTTAACAGACAAAGTGTCCAAACATGGAATTTCCCCCAATGATTGATGAAGAAAACCTAGATAGAGAGTAACAACAGACCTTGACATTCGCCCTCCCCTGAGAAAAATTCAAGAAAATAAGGGGTGTTTGAGGTGATGTTTTGAGGCTAAAATAATTAATAAAATAAAATATGACATTTTATATATTATTTTATTTTATTTTTTATAATCATCTATTTAATTATAAAAAAAATCATAAATTATTTTAAACATAATTTTTTTCATTAGCTAAAATAATTAAAATATTAAAAAATCAATCAAAATAGTCAATATTCCAAACAAGCCCTCAGCACCTACACCTACTTTGATGGATAGAACAAGAAACGTACCTAGACAAAACCCTAAAAAAAATTTAAAATGAAGAGGTAAATTCAACATAGTAAATTGTCAATTCCATAAGAATGACTTGTTATTGATTGGTGGTATACTGACTTAGACTTGAGACGACTCAATGACAATAATCTTTTTATATCTTTTTATATAGCCAATGGGATTTTTGTATAAAAATTGAGGGGTCCCAAATGTAACATATTAAGATCAAGAGAGTACAAGATGCTTGGTTGTTTGGTTTAAAATGAATAAAGGAAGAAATATTTAGTAACTTTAAATAAAGAATGTCAACATTTTAAATTCAAAGATTTCACAATTCAATCTAATCGGTAGTGTGTTTGATATATATAGATATATATATATATATATATATATATATAAAATAGAGCCAATGTGAATGTAATCTTTAGAGTTTACGGTCAAAAATTACTTAGTATATGCAAAATACATGCATCTCAAAATTAGTTGGGACGAAATTTTAAATATGTTGGTGAGTTTAAAAAAATTTTAAAAAAATGTAATGTCACCTTTAATTAATCATTTCATATGCCAAGTATTTTTATATCTTGTCGGTCAGAGTTTACAAAGTCGAGTCTCTTATTTGTACCTCTAATTCATTATATATAAATATTTTAAATTTCTTAACAAGTATTCTTAAACACACATCAACAAAATTTATTTATATATAAATTCATTCTATTCTATATAAAGTAAGGTCTCGTTTTAGAACAAGCTATTTCAGTGATTTTTTAATTTTTTGATTAAAATATAAGGTAAAAAAAATTAATATGTTTGGAATAATTTTTTGATTTTTTACGAAAATATGTGTAAAAAATAGAGAGAAAATAAAGACTGTATTTGGTTAAGCTTTCCAAACTCAAGTCCACCCATTGGTTTGAGCCATGTGTTTGGTTACAATTTTTAAAAATTAATTCCACACCCATCTGCGAAAACACGTCTACCCAGTCATCCTCCTGGACGTCTGGTCGGTTGATCGGAACAGTGTTCGTATTTTTTTTTTCACCTGTTATTTTAATATTTTAAATAAAAAATATTTTTTGAATTTTTTTTAATTTTTTTATGAGTTTTAAATAGAATTTTTGGTTGTGTGTTTGGTTATGAGTTGTAAATTTTTGAATTAGATATTGTATGTCACATCACTCAATTCAAATTCAATTCAAAACTCATAACCAAACAAATCTTCCACACTCAAATCATAATTCTAACACTTACAAACTCAAAATACAATTCTATTCTGAAACCATAATTCTAAAGTTTTACCAAACGTAACTAAAATTTTTAACTTTTTAGTATAGATTATAGACTTTTTAATTTTTTTAATAATTTTTTAACTTTTAAACTAAAAATATTATATGCCAAACGAAACCTAGGTGGAGTTGGCTGTAGGATTAAAGTTTTAAACAGAGATGGAGTGTCTTGAGAAGGGACTTCTTCCAGAAATGGTGGTGTATGGCCTAGTGGTTTTTTAAGTGCGCTTATAATACTGAAGTATTTGGAGCAGAGAGATAAACAGTGAAAAGCATGTCGTAGATTTTGGAGAAAGGACACACTTTTGCATTATGATACAAAACATTATTAAATGCCAAAAAAAAAAAAAATTTATGGGTTTTTGTGGTATAGTAAAGGTAAAAAAAAAGTAGCGAATTTATGTCAGAGTTTGGAGAGGAATTTGGAGGCAAAGGAATGTGAAATTGGTCCCCTTTTTCTTTTTTTTTTCTTTGCATTTACTTTATATGCCGACTGGTGCTCGTGGGTTTGATGATCATTCACGCCGGCTGCTTTTCTGAAGTCTCTCTCTTTCTCTCTCCTCTCACCCTCAAAACCAATTTTCACGCCTGCTCCCACTCAACCCTACTAAAATATGTCCACTTTAAATAAATAAATTATAATAATAAAAATGTATATGCAAGTAGGATGATGAATCTCATAAGAGTGTCCTTATTTGTTAATATTCTTATTAGTATTTTTTTTTATTATCAAAATAGTGTATCTGGCTAACAAGTGTATTCTTAATTTTTTGTGATTTTTAATAAAAAAAAAATATTTTTTTATGGTTAATCCTATGCAAGTGGACTTGCTTCAATAAAAAAAAAAAATACAAATATATGTATATATATATATTCGATATTCTAAACCACAAGTTAGTCTTGGTCAGATAAAAAATAAGAAAAAACATGATGTTATGTTTATATATATTTATCTAATCATAGTTTATTTACTGTATGTGAGGCATTTATGGTCAATAATATAATGATTTTATGTAAATTTTATTAATATTCAATTAATATAAATTTGTCATATTAAGTGATAAATAAAATATAATAAAGAATATGATAAATGTAATATTATTATAAAAAATATATTTAAAATCATACCAATTCAGTTTTTCTGTAGAGATAGATCCAATAAGTGAAAGCTCACTTTTTCTTATGTGCATATGCATCAATCATAATAATTCTGACACCAAAATTAATATAGTTATGAAAATGTACAAATAATTAACAATAATTTTATTATAGTCACATTTGTTTAATTATATTTTATTTACTATCTATCTAATGTATCAATATTACATTTGACATACTGAAGTCTAATCAATTATGTCCATTACTAATACAAATAGACCAAAAAAAATATATTATGTGATGTGAACTCTTAACCCATCTCAAACTTGTCAATTTTTTCCCCTCATTGTTTGCATCATTTGTCTGACAAAATTGTAATAATAAACACACACCTAATCCATTCCACCTTGCCTTCCAAAACTTTGACATAAAAACCTATTTCAGTCAATCGCCTCCTAAATTTAAAAAGAAACCAAGAAAAATTCCCCCATCACTCCTCTCATCGATTACATCAAAAGCAAAGCTAAGCAAAGCAAAGCTAAGCTAGTTTTACTCACTTAGATTCCCCACTCTCTCTCTCTTAAGCCTAGCAAAAATCCAACTTAGAGATCCTCCTTTTAATCATTCTCTAGACCCCAAAACCCAACCCAATTCACTGTTAAAAACACAACCAACCCATCTCTTGTTGTCCAATCCAAAGACTCATATCATATCATATCATCTTTTCTTTTCTTTTCATATATGTGGGTGGGACTTTGGTTTTAAATGGATACTTTGTTTACACTCGTCACCCTTCAATCTCATCATCATCATCATCAGCCCCATCCCCATCACTCCTTCAACTCCTCCACCATTACTTCAAGCAGCTCTAGATCTTCCAGACAACAACAAAACCACCAATCCGACGAAGAATGCTTCAACTTTTTCATGGATGAAGAAGACTTCTCTTCTTCTTCTTCCAAGCACTACTACCCTTATCACCACCACCAACCACCCTCCACCACCACTACCACCACCACAACTACTCCACCACCACACCACCATGCCTTTGAATCAGCCCAATTCTCTTTCTCCCCCGCCCGAGACCTAAACATCGAATTCGCCTCTTCTGGCAACTGGGCCTCCAATATCCTCCTCGAGGCAGCCAGAGCTATTGCTAATAAGAATAGTGCTCGAGTCCAACAATTGATGTGGATGCTAAATGAGCTGAGCTCGCCTTACGGCGACATAGACCAAAAGCTAGCTTCTTACTTTCTTCAAGCCTTGTTTAGCCGCGTGACGGACTCCGGTGAGAGGACTCACCGGACTCTGATCTCAGCTTCGGAGAAAAATTCTTCATTCGAATCCACACGAAAAATGGTGTTGAAATTCCAAGAAGCGAGCCCTTGGACTACGTTCGGTCACGTTGCTTGTAATGGTGCAATCATGGAAGCTTTTGAAGGTGAGCCTAAGCTTCATATAATTGACATTAGCAACACTTATTGCACCCAATGGCCTACTTTGTTGGAAGCCTTAGCGACTCGCACCGATGAGACGCCCCACCTCCGCCTCACCACGGTGGTGTCCGCCGGCGGCAGCGGCGGAGAGGGGGCAGCGGCGGTGCAAAAGGTGATGAAAGAGATCGGAAATAGAATGGAGAAGTTCGCGAGATTAATGGGTGTTCCGTTCAAATTCAACGTAGTACACCATTCTGGAGATTTATCGGGGTTGAATTTATCGAAATTGGATATCAAAGACGACGAAGCGCTCGCGATCAACTGCGTCGGCGCTTTACACTCAGTCGCGGCAGTGAACAACCGCCGCGACGTGGTGATTTCGATATTCAAGAGTTTGAATCCGAGGATTGTGACGGTGGTTGAGGAAGAAGCTGATCTCGTAGTGGGCGACGATGATGGGTTCGACTTCGTTAAGGGGTTCGAAGAAAGCTTGAGATGGTTTAGGGTTTATTTCGAGTCGTTGGAGGAGAGTTTTCCGAAGACGAGCAACGAGAGGTTGATGCTGGAGAGGGCGGCGGGGAGGGCGGTGGTGGACCTGGTGGCGTGTCCGGCTGCGGAGTCGGTGGAGAGGCGAGAGACAGCGGAGCGGTGGTCGCGGCGGCTACATGGTGGGGGGTTTGGGCCGGTTTCGTTCAGTGATGAGGTGTGTGATGACGTCAGAGCGCTGCTAAGGAGGTACAGGGAGGGGTGGTCGATGACGCAGGCGGCGGAGGCTGCCGGAATATTCTTGACGTGGAAGGAGCAGCCGGTGGTGTGGGCTAGTGCGTGGAGGGGTTGATTGAGAGTGGGGGAACACACAGATGGTGGTGGGCTCGCATGTGTGGTTTTTTTGACACGTGTATGGGGAGTTGTGTGGGTTTGTTATTGGAAGGGGTTTTAGATTGATTGATCTTTGATGTAAAAAGCAAGATTAAGCCATTGCTTTTTTTTTTTTTTGTCTTTTTTTCTTTTTTCTTTTTTTTCCAATTGATTGAATGAATGATGAATAGGGAAGTGAAGTAATATATATTCTCATTTGTGATTATTTTTGTTGTCATTGAAGAAGAAGAAGAAGAAGAAAAAAAAAGTTTTAGTTTGGTTTTGATTTTGATTTTGATTTTGATTTTGAGTTTTGTGGAGTGTTTTCTTTTTATTTTTATAGATTGGAAGTTGTTATATGGAAACAGGGCACCAAATTTTTTATTTTTAATTTTCTATTGCTTCATATCACAATATGGATTGTTTTTAGTATAGTTTATAAGTTAATTTTTTTTGCTCTTATAAAAAGACGTAAAAAAAGTAAAGAAATAATATGATAAAAATAAAACAATAAATCAATAGACAACTTATTTATGATATTGTCAAAAAAAAATCTCTATATTCCTAATCATTTAATCAAGTGTTAAAATTTATGTATTTCACGATTATAATATGATTTAATAATTGAAAGTGTATATTGAACGGAGTATAGCAAAATTTAGGGACAAAAGATAGGCTTCAAATTTTAATTTTGTTTTGAGATTAGTAGATTCAATAGTTGAAAGTGTATTAGAAGAAGGGAATAGTGAAATTTAGTGACAAGAGATCCTTAGCCTCAATAAGAAGAATGAACTACATATTAATCTTTCTGTGCACATAATATCGCCAATGCCAATGTTGTTATATATGTATTTACAAGACGGTTGCTATTTGCTCTCACCAAATTTCTTTGGATCCCATTTCTAAATTTTGAATTTTTTTTTGTGTGTCTTTAGACTCCAACCTTATTCCCAATTCTACCTTCATTCCTTAAACCGTAACCTTATCCCGCATCTTCACCTTTGGCCGCGGCTAGGCCATCTCCAGCAACCCCTCCCCACCCCACGTATGAACCCGCTTCCTATTGCAACTTCCTTTCCACTCTTACCCATAGGTGAGTGACCCTCTTCCTCCACCCCTACAACCCCTCACCCTCATGACGTCCACTCCCTACAGCCCCTACCTTCATGATCGCCACCCTAGCGACATCCACCCCTTACTATATTGTGATTCCTACCCAGCCCCCTCACACTCTTACGATCTCACCTGAGATGAGAGAGAAAGAGAGAGAGAATGTGCTGTTGGTTGAGGAATGGTAAGGGAGGGTGGCAGCTGGAAGGAGGTTGGGGAGGAGATGTGAGTGGTGGGAGTGGGCTAGGGATGGAGGGAGGGAGGTGCTGATCGAGGCTGGTGATGGCTAGGGTAGTGGTTGGGGTAAAGGGTGGGATTAGGAATGAAAATAAAATTGAAATTTTGTATTATGGTAAAAAATTAATTATAATAAGAAAAAGGAAGGATACCAAGTTGAGAAAAAAATAATAATGATGAAAGCTAATAGTAGCACTCATATTTAAAACACCAAACACATGTCCCACCTGTATATTTTGATTGGGTCACTACACAAATCAATGATTATATATGGATCCTACAAATCCATTCGAGATTATGCAAAATTCATAAACTGATTTATACTCAACTAGGACAAAAGTTTCACCTCTAATTTTCATGACAATCAAGGCACAACTTATGTGTCCTTGCTTGCTTGTTTGTACACAAGTTTAAACTTGTAATTTTAAATCTCATGGGTCCAAATTTAGATGGAGTTGGTATTAGGTGTGTTTTGGATGATATCACCTTTGATGTGTACTTTAACAGCTATATGCAAAGAGGGTTATAATAATAAATTTGAAAAGTTCATTTATGCTGTGTTTTTTATTGGAGGATTTAGGTAGAAATTTGGAAAAAATGAAAAGAAAAAAAAGTTAGTGAAATATAAATAAAATATACTTATATCTCACTTAATTTTACACACTTCGTCTTTTTTTTTCTAAATTTTTTTTCAAATCCTCCAATCAAACACATCGTTAATCACAAAGTCTCCGTAAAGGTCGTTATCTGTTCGGGGGCCCTAGAATCTTTGGACGGCCTTGGGTTGTGTTTGGGGAATCTAATAGGATAGGAAGGTTTGTTTAGTCATTAGTGGTATATGTATTATGGGTATAGTGGCCAGCACGATTGTGCGTAGATATGGTCTTTTTGATACTATTTTCTCCATCAACTTTCCCGGAAAGTGAAGAGAGAAAAACACAGACCTGCAGGCATTCTATGGCCCCCCACCACCATCTCTTAAATTACTCACAAAAAAAAAAAAGAAAGAAAGAAAGGGTATTCTGAAAAATATTCAAAAAACAGAATATGTGGAGTAATTCATTCTGAATATGACTTCCATGCCATTAAATTTATATTTATATTATTTATTTTAATTTAACTATAAATTCCATTCAAAAACAAAAAACTCTTTCATGGTGGTGTTGTAAGGCCAAGAAAGTGGTGTACTCTCTGGCCCACGAAAAAGCAAAGAAAGCAAAATAATTAGAGAGTGGTATAGTGGGAACTTCTTTTTAGGGTTTCACATTTTGATGAGACTTGCCCCCTCCACGTTAGGCACGGGATCTTCTGTACTTTTATCTTAAAATAAACATAATTGTTATATCGTATGTTTTGTAGTTTTTACATCTAAAATAATAAAAACAAAAGAATAATACTCTTTAACATTCGGGCATGGGTGATCTTAACCTCCAACATACTCATCAATCAAAGTTTTTTTGGTATTCATAAAAATATTTAATATTTAAAATATATAAATTAGATTCATTTTAAATGTAAATTATTTTAGACTAATTTAAATCCATACCGTGTTGTATACATTTAAATTTAAGGCATCTTTTCATTTTAAATTTTTTTTTTTATGTGAAATTTAATCAAAATCTTTTCATTGGACCCTTATTTGGTAAAAAAAGACAATCCAATTTATTTTGCTCCAGAAAATTCCTAAAGAAGAGAAACATAATTGAACAAGGATAAGGTAAAATATCTTCTTCTTTTTTTCTTGGACAATATTGACGGAGTAATATGTTACTGTTAAACAAGTAATATATTACTATTTACATCAATTTCGAATGTGATAAAAAAAATTTAAAAAGAATTATATAGTTAATATGGATTTTGTTTGATTGATCTTGATTAGAAGATTCTTAAAATACTAATTTTATTAAAAATTAACATCGAACTCAAAAATTATATTATTTTAAAATTTAAAATTTTAATGATAATAACATATACTAAACTTTTTATACTTATTTTTAATGTTTTAAAATTTTATTACGAGCGTTTTTTAGTTAGAGGGGGAGAGGTGAACCCTTGAGTTTGCTTATTAATTGAGGCTTTGAATTTCTTTATAGCATTGACGATGACTGGCTGTCTGTTGAAAGTAGATTGATCGGCAACCTTTAAATGCATACATGTGTCTTTTTTGCTTTAGTTTATTCGAATTCGAATCTTCTTTAGTCCCTTTTTTTTTCCCTTTCTTTACTTTAATTTCTATAGATGGCTAAATTCATGACCACTCCTCATATTGATATTGGGTGGTTCCACCTTCTGCAAAAGAGAAAATTATAAGGTACTTTCCAAAGTATTATTGTGTTATATTGTGTTATATTGTGTATATGATATTTTTTGACAAAAGAAAAATTACAATATATAATCTTTTTTATTTTTGTAAGAAATAATCTTCTTGTATAATCCTATTGATCAAGTCCGCACTCTTCCAAACGTCGTCGCTTTACTCCCTAAAAATACAAACGTGAGCTAGCCGGCAGGTGTATGCCGGATACCTCTCTGATGCCTAAGTCAGCAAAATAGGTAAATAGACAAAAGTTCTGTGTATTCGAGAATCAAAGTTCTGTTACCTCTCCATAGGTGATGTTGTGAGCTTTTATAAGTTTCGTGTGACACAATCCTAGTAGGACTCTTATTTCTCCATGCAGAGTCCTCTTAGCAATTACTCTCCTAAAAGATAATGTTTATCCTTTAACACCCCCTCACTACTTAAACCAAGTGAGATGGTCCTAACTCGGTGGTATGTCCAAACGACCGAGCTAGCATTGCCATGGCACAACGACAATGTAACCAAGCTAACAATACTCATGTTACATTTATCCCGGCGCTTTATGTGTAACATGTACCTCGGCTTCGCCTATAGACCGTGCTAACCATAGCGTACTTGGACCGAGCTACTCAACAGCAAGGTCCTGAGTAGAAGCCAAAAATACCTCGGCTCAAGATGGTTTGACCGAGCTAACTGTCATCGTGCCGACCGTAGTGACTGAACTAACCACCAAGCTCTTTCGAACCGGGCTATCTGCAAGGCTCCTCTGGACCGGACTAATTACAAGGCCCCTTTTACTCAACACTTCTTACTGTGGCCCACAGAATGGCCCATTACCCAGCTCAGTCCAATTTACATATAAATTACCCTCTCAATTGTCCCTTAATTCCATCTGCGCAGCATAGGAATGGCAACGGGGCGGGGCCGGGGACTACCCCCCGTCCCCGTTCCCCGAAAATAATACCCCCCTCCGTCCCCGTCCCCGATCCCCGACGGGGACCCATAGCCCGGCCCCATCCCTGCCCCCGATCGGGGATCGGGGATCCCCGGCCTCGGAAAATCCCCAGTTTTTTTTTTTTTTTTTTTTTTTTTAAAAAATCTGTAAACATTAATAAACATTCTCAATCACCCTTCACTACTGGAGATATAAATTTTGGAATTTTTCAGTTGGAATATCAACTCCTAATAATAGCTTCATTTTTTTAATTAATTAAAACTTAGCCACAACAAAACAAAACAAAAAAAAGAAAGAGAATAATTATTGATAAACATCCTGTAGCAAAACATCCTGTGATTGTAAAGATTGAGAACATCCATAACTAATTGAGAACATCCTGTAGCAAAAATAGTTAATCACTGATTGTAAACTAAAAATGTAAAGATTGGGTGTACATCCTGTGAATCACAACTACCTAATCACTGATTGAGAACATCCTGTAGCAAAAATAGTTAATCACTGATTGTAAACTAAAAATGTAAAGATTGGGTGTACATCCTGTGAATCACAACTACCTAATCACTAATCACTGATTGAGAACATCCTGTAGCAAAAATAGTTAATCACTGATTGTAAACTAAAAATGTAAAGATTGGGTGTACATCCTGT